TTGCCGACGACACCAAGCTGTGTGGCTCGGTTGATACACTGGAGGGAAGGGATGCCACCCAGAGGGACCTAGACATGCTTGTGAGGTGGGCTGATGCCAACCTCATGAAGTTTAACCAAACCAACTACAAGGTCCTATACCTGCATCAGGGCAACCCTAGGCACAGCTACGGGTTAGGTGGAAAAGACATTCAGAGCAGCCCTGTGGAGAAGGAGTTGGGGGTGGAGGTTGATGAGAAACTCGACATGAGCCAGCTTCAGTGTGCGCTTGCAGCCCAGAAAGCCAAAAGAAGCATGACCAGCAGGTTGGAGGACGTGATCCTGCCCCTCTTCTCTGCTCTTGTGAGACCGCACTTGGAGTATTGTGTCCAGTTCTGGTGTCCTCAACAGAAAAAGGACATGGAGCTCTTAGAGCAAGACTAGAGGAGGGCCACGAGGATGATAAGGGGGCTGGAGCACCCCCCATATGAAGACAGGCTGAGAAAGTTGGGACTGTTCAGCCTGGAGAAGAGAAGGCTGCGTGGAGACCTCATAGCAGCCTTCCAATATCTGAAGGGGGCCTATGAGGATGCTGGGGAGGGACTCTTTGTTAGGCACTGTAGTGGTAGGACAAGGGGTAATGAGTTCACACTTAAACAGGGGAAATTTAGATTAGATATAAGGAAGAAGTTCTTTACAGTGAGAGTGGTGAGGCACCGGAATGGGTTGCCCAAGGAAGTTGTAAATGCTCCATCCCTGGCGGTGTTGAAGACCAGGCTGGACAGAGCCTTGGGCAACATGGTTTAGTGTGAGGTGTTCCTGCCCATGGCAGGGGGGGTTGAACTAGGTGATCTCAAGGTCCTTTCCAACCCAAACCATTCTATGATTCTATGATGAGGAGAGACAGCAAGGTCTGTGCTAAGAAGCAGTGAACAAGAGCTGCTCTGGCTCCCCACTCTTGCATTTTGTTGTAAACATTCCAAAGTTGTTAAGATAATTCCCTAGAAAATTATTCTGTGCACTTTTCAGTTATTATTCAGCACCTGCTAGCTGATACGAATGTTTAATTTTTCACTAATACGGACACAACTGCAGAGATGTAGAAGGTTAAACAAGGCACAGCCCTGGGCTCAGGCATGGGCTCAACCTGCAAAATAAGACACAGTTGCTTCACCTTGGATGAGGCTTTTCACCTTCCCGTGCTTTCAGTTTCTCAGTGTTTTGTCTGTTCTGACTGAAAAGCTGTAACAGCAGGTGCTGATTTTTGCCCTGTGTTTGCACTGTCTCCAGCACCATGTCACCATTAGTGTGCCAGGAAAATTCATGTCCTGCTGGATTATAAATAACAAGAGCTGTACTTGCAGCACTGAAATCAGCCAAATCCACTCCACATCCTCAGGTGATATCACCTTGGCATTAAAAATCAAGATCTCAA